TCAAATACACATACATATATACAGATACACACATGCACATGTACACATATAGATATATACATATACATATGGGTGTATGTGTGTATATATGTCTACAGACATAATTAATTCTTCTACGTTATTTTCAATGGCCACATAGTAATTCATTAATAATTTAGAAAACTAATTTAACTCACCTACTGCCATCAAAAATACATAGAAGATTTTTAGGGCAATAAAATTTTTCTATGTCATTATATGTTTGTAAAAACAGACTACTTCAAAAAAGTTCATGGAAAAGGAAATGAAAGTTTATTCTGATGGCAAGAAAACTTTGAAATCCATGCCTGAGAGGCCTTCATAAAATTCATGAAAAATGTATATTATGGTAAAACCATGCAGGATTTCTAAAATTTTGGCAACAAAGCAAACATCTTTTAATTCCATTTTCCCATAAACCTGGTAAAGTACCCCCCTACAAAGGAAGAGTGAACGTAACATAAGCTATGAACTCTGGGGGACAGTGATAGGTTGGCTGGAGTTAGCTGAGCATAACACATACCCCCCTCTGGTTTGAGATGTTCATGATGGGGGAGACTGGGTTCTTTGGGGTGGAAGTATACGGTAAATCTCTGTATTTTCCACTCACTTTTGCTGTGAACCTAAAACTGCTCTAAAAATAGTGTGACAGGCATGAACACATGTGCATATATCCACATATGTGTAACTCTAAAAATAAAGTGTGATCTCTATGTGGAGAGAGAGAATCTCTCTCCGGAAAGCTGCACCATTTCCCTCCGATGAATTCCAGGAAGCATACCTATCTGGCCAAAGGGCGTGTTCATGCAACAAGTTGCCTGGATGACCACGCTTCCCTCAAGAAAGCGCTTGACAACTTCACTCCTACTAAGACAGGACACTGGAGAGCCAACTCGTGATCCCTGCCCGACGCTGCACACGTTTCCTTTCCTTCCACACCTCCCCGCACTCGGTCCTCAAGACTGGGCTGTAAGAACGTCACTGCGTGTTTCTGTCAGCAGCATGCCCATCTGCTGAATCACCACGGACTACCAAGTTCACCTGTCCTTTAATTACCGGCCAGCTACATCTCTGAGAAAGCATATGCCAGGATAATTTGCCTCGATTTAAATTTCAAAGAAAATTCCCACATGGACCCCAGATGTTGACCACGCACTGCAAGAAGGTGTCTCCTCATTACACAGACGTGGTATGTGTCCAAAACGTTGGCACTGTTTAGTTTATGGGTCACTTAAAATAACTACATCACAAAAACACAATGGTTCATGTGAAAGTCATAAGTTGAACAATGCCAATTTTTTGATGTACACCACATTTGTATAATAAGGAAACACCTTGTTGATTAAATGATCAACATCTGGAATCCATGTGAGGGCTTTAAAAAATTAGTGTTGCATTTTCTTAAATTTTCCCAGTGTAGAAAGGAACCTCCCTGCCCAAATGCTCTTGCGAGTAGTGCACTGCTTGCTTGGTAAGTCAGAGTGTTGTAAGTCACGGTCTATCACAGGGACAGCTCACAGAGTGTGCGTCTTCTGCTGTGTTTATTCCATATCTTTTACTCTGAAATTTTAGAATATGATTACAGTGCATTCAATGGCGGCCCCCCCAAAAGATATGCCTCACCCTTACTTTGGGAACATGGGGACGACACCTTATTTGAGAAGAGGAACTCTGAAGAGGCAATGAATTAGGATCTTGAGATATGATCATCCTGGACCTAGGGTGGATTCCAAACCCAGTGTCGGGTGTCCTTACAGGAGGCACAGACCTGTGGCACAGGTCCAGGACACAGGGCACTGGGAGCTGGGAGCACCAGAGCCAAGGGGGAGCTTCCTAGATCCCTGTGACACCCACCCCACTGTTTGAGAAACTTGGCATTTCCGTTGCTTGGATTTGTCACTGAGGCTCCAGGAAGCTACAACAGTTATTCAACATTTGGCTGACAATTCATAGCAGTAAGATAACCTGTTATGAGTTAATTATATCACATTATTTCATTCAAATTTGACATCACTGATTCTTCAATTTTCACAAAGGACTTGATGTTTCTGCTTTAGATTTAAGTAACACTAAGGTTTCCCAGATCCCTTTTGACCTTGGCTTGCTCCGATCCCACAGTTACTCTCTGCTGAATTTCTGTCACTTGAGCAACTTTGAGACCATCCACAAAGCTGTGAGGACTGGGTTTTCTGGACTAGACCAGCTAAGCAGCCTCAGCACCCCAGTCCTGGGAGTGGGGAGACACCAGATCTCCGTCCACTTGCTTGACACCTGTGCACCTTGCAAACAGTAGTGAGTACTCAGGAGGCTGTACCCCACGCCAAATCTGTAATGAGCACTTGGGAGGGCTGGACCACCTTGAGGACGGAGCACCAAGAGAGCAAGGTGGAACAGTGCCCCACACTATTGCACTTGCTGCAGGCCTGAAGTCCAAGCGCATCCACTGCCTTGCATTAGGAGTGGGTGGTGTGTCGTGACAAGTTCATGGGGGTCTTTCACCACAGGCTCTTCCACTAGGATGTCTAATACCCCTAGACATTCAGCACTGGTAGGACTATCATCCAGTTTCCTCAAACCTCATTCAAAGTCTTTGGTTTGCCGAAGCTTCATTCAGTTAAAGGGAAGAATCAACCTCAGATTATTTTCTTACATAGATTCTATGGTCCAGGAGATCAGCAGCACCCTGCCACCTCCCAGTCCACCTCAAAGGGGGAGGGGCTATAATGGAGTATAACACAGCCATCAAAAATAGCGTCAAGTAATTCTTAATGACATGGGGGAAAGTTCTGTGCACACGCAGAGTAAAAAATGCAGGAGCAGCTTTGCTACACACTATGACCCAAACATGTTTAGATACAACTACACATACACAAAAAGGCCTCCATGTTCCCAAAAGCGGTGATTTGGTTATGGCCAGGTGGTGGGATAATGTACGAATTCTACTTTGTTAGCTACATTTTCAAGTGTGCTTCTGATAACCAAGTAACAGCTGGCGGCCAAGAGCCTTCCTTGTGGGAAGAGTACCCGCTCCAGAGGGCGGGGCTCATTTCAGAAGTGGTTTACCAATGCTACAAATTCATCCTGCAGAATCCCCTGGAGGTGCACAAGTCAGCAGATTCCTCCCTGGTCTCTCAAAAATGCTCTGGGGATCCCTGGGGCCCAAGGGGACTGGGGCAGCTCAGAAGATTCATGTGCCTTTCTCCACGGTGGAACACGAGAACCCGCTCGCTGCAGATGCAGAGCTGGGTTCTGGAAGGTGTCGGAAGATGATGTGTTGTTCCCAATCGCAGGCTCTCATCGCTGCCGCACAGGTATCTCAAGGCTGCAAAGAGAGCACACAGAGAGGGCCCAGCCCACGCTCCCCTCCCTGCTCTTTGTTTCCCAGAGGCCAGAACAGCGCTTTCACAGAGCCCACAAAATGCCGAAATCTGGAATGGGAAGGTATTTGGGGGTTTTTCCGGGGATTGAAGTTGCCAGGTCAAACAGGCTCATGATGCAGTGCCATCAGCCCCAGGGCACTAACAGCCTCCAGCGCTGGACAGTCACGCATCATCACGGGGCGGGGGGCCTGGAGCGGCTGGGGAGCAGGCGGCTCTCAAGGGGTGCATCCAGAGGGCGGGCAGGGCGGGAGAACGTGTGTGGCTTACCCAAGCACATTCAATTACGACTTTGCTTTGGACAAGGAACAAATGTGTGTGGCTCTCAGAGGGTGGGAGGCGGAGGTGCTGAGGAGTGTGTACAAAGTGTGTGCTCCAACCTGAGTGCGCACCCCGAGCCGGCTGGAAGCCCCGCCCTGTTGCTGGCAGCCATGGGTGTTCAAAGGCTGGGACTACTGGGTAAAACAAGTGCGCCCCCTCTGACTCCCCCTCATGACTATGAGAACACAGCTGCCTTTAGCCGTGAACAGCCACAGCCTTCCGTCTCCAGACTTGCTGATCCTCCTAACCCGCCTGTGTGTTTCCAACACTGAATATTCTCACCTTCACAGAAGCTTAGGGGAGAATGCTCACCATTTTTCTCACGATTTCTTTCAAAAAGAGTTACAATGCTTCTGCCTCCCTACTCCCACAGACCTGGTGCTATCCGGTGCTTGTTAAGAGAAGAATCTGCCTGGAAAGTAGACCATACAGGCACTGTGGCCATATTGCCTGGACAAGAGGGGCGTATGCCGGGTAACAGAGGGACACACAGATGCCCCAGGACAGTGGCGGCCAGTGGAGCACAAGAGAAGACAGAAGGAGACCACAGGCAGCCACAGCCCCACGGAGGGCAGCAGACAGCTCAAGAGGCACACACGCCTGTGCCCTGTGTACACTCCCTTGAGGGCTTCCCAAGCACTACTCGCACACCCACCCAAAGCATGCTTTTGCTATGCTGGGACGCACGCCAGAAAAGAAGACAGTCTAAGTCTGGATTTGAGTACTGGTGCATCTGGCCAGTCTGACAGAAAGGCCCCTGGCAGCCAGGAGGGCACCCGGACACCCCGGGGCAGTCCCTGGAGCATGTGTCAGCCCATTTCTCCAACCCGGGAATCAGACGGCCCTGACGGGCTTCTGCTCGCCTTTCAAATTACACTCAGGAAACACTGGCCACAGACAAGCACGTGACGACCTCCAGCAGTGAGTGACCAAACCTGCATTTTCATTTTCTGACTTTATCTCTGCTGAGGGGCTACTGTCTACAGAGGCTTCATAGCTAAAGGCTCCTGCAATTCCTTACTTTGTTGAAACTTCAGAATCTAACAGGAAACAGAACACGGAAGAGAAACCCATTCCTGAACAGGAGATGGCAAAGTACAAGGTGCTTGGGATTCCTTGAACAAATCTGACCACATTCTCCAAATTGCATCTCCTGTGATGTCTCCCAGAGCCGGGTGGACATATCCCACAGGGCTGTGTAACCCGGGGTGGTCAGGAAGACGTGAAGTTGGAAACTCGACTGCCAGGGTCCAAATCCACCCAGCTGGTGACCTCAGGGACTCACCCTTGCCGCACTCTGCCCAGCCCCCATCTAGGGAGAGCAAGCAGCACCACTCGCATCACAGGGGGTTTGCCTCGAGGAGTGAATGAGCTCATCCGCCCTCCGTGCTCAGCAGTCCTGGGCACAGGGAAGGCCCTCCTTCCACGTGCATGAGGTCAGCTTCTATAACGGAACGAGACTGTATTACACATCATCCTAAGATAGACTTCAAGGTTTAAATTGTTGCCGACAGATGCAGCCCCCAGTACCCACAAACAGGCCCTGAGACAGGCTTCTGAGGCAACTTCTAGCAACAGATCACAAGAGACAGACACGCCAATTCAAATTCCACACTCATAGCAAACAATTTCCTACAGGTGATTCAAAAGATGACAATGTGACTCAAAAATTAGCTTTTCCAAACTGAACAAGCAAAAACTGCAGGGGAGAAAGGCAGGCAGGCAGAGGCCACCCTCGTTACACAGCTAACAAAACGCCACCTAACGACGGCTCATGCTTCTTGTCTGCAGATTGTGGCAACTTCACTCAAAGCCACCTCACTTCACTTCTGCTTCGTGGCTTTCAAAGTGGAATGTAACTTTTCCTCAGACCCAGAGTAAAAATTTCTGGACGAACTAAGCAAATTGTTACCAGAAATGCAATCTTACACAAATGCTATTTCAGGGTAATCAGAAAACACAGAACATCTGGGTGGTATTTGCTAGCACAGAGAGGTCACCTTACTTACAGCCCAGCCACGCGGGGACTCGAGCCTGCATCTGGAACTGCAAACAGAGACCACTGCCTCGCTGTAGGTCCCAGCACGCTGGATTTTTATGTCTGGTTGGGAATGCTTCTAGAAGTGCGACACCACAGCGGTCTTTGGTCTTGCTCAGAGGTCCCAAGCCACAGGTGTTCTGATGCACACAGTAATTCCAAACTGGACTGAATTCAATTCCCATGGGTGGGCCCTGTCCCTGTTTACATGATAGGCCCTTAGCAGTGCTTTTTATAAGTCCTGGGCCAGGCGCATCCCCACAGAGAAGACAACAAAAGACAAATGAGGTAAACGGCTGCCTCCCTCCCTCACTGATGAAGTGCAGAGACCCGGAGGTCGGAACACTAAGACAGCCACATTCAGGAATTCATCTAATTGGCTTGGTGGGCTGATTTCAAGTATCTAGTCTCAGTAGATGTGTCTAATGGTCACTCATTTCTTAGGACTGCTGAGTGACTTACTAACATTCACTTACAGAGACATAAGAAGACAGAGAATGTCTACGCATGTTCTTGTATCAAAGTATGAACTAAAGTCCCCACTGTACAGTATTTTGAAAAAATTAATAATATCTGTTGACAGCTTGGTTTTCTTTACATAAAAAGAAATAAAATTGCTCAGTGCAATGTTGAAAGAGGAACTAGTTCTACCGAAGTATGTTTAATGAATACTTATATACACACAGAGACACACGCTCTTCTGTACACACGCGCCCCACAGGGACTTGCCGCTGGCCACTGCTCTTCCTCTTTCAGTCTTTCATTCCTCCTGGGAGATTCTATTTCACTTACAAATTAAGCCTGAGTCTAGGGCCAAACAAGGGAACACTGGGGCAGGGTTCCTAAGGCGTCAGACCACGCGTCACTCCAAAGGCGTTAGGTTTTAGGCACTGGTGAGGACATACTAGCTGCGTTAGGGTCCACACGTGATTAGTGAGTGTCCCGCTCACACGACTCCGGCGAGCACGCCCTTGTGTCCAGTCTCTTCCTGGGGACACAAGCACAAGGCGTCTGGCAGGGAACTCACTTCCTGGGTGGGCACCCCGGTGTTCTCCTGGATTAGTCTCTCCGCAGATTCTGGGGAGCCCCCCCTCCACGCTGCAGGGCAGTGCCGCTGGGAGACATCCCACAGGGAGGCACATGGAGGAGGGAAAGCCAGGACAGACGGCGGGAGGGCGTCCTCCTGCGGGCCCGCTTCCTGGACGCCTCTGTTGGAGAGCACTTCCTTCTCTTTGGAATTCCGCCACTTCATCCTTCTGTTCTGAAACCAAATTTTCACCTATGGGCAAAATAAGTGGACAAAGTGATGACTTATTCCAGGTTATTTCAGTTGGGCATTTTACATTGCACTTGGCTTCTACTACCCCCTCTTGAGAATACTGATTTTGAGAGCCAACCTCACGAAGTCCTTGTGGTTTTTCAGGTATCTGAGCAATGACTTCAGTATGACACCCACAAACACACTTCTGAAACATCTGAAAGTCTGGTATCTTTCAAGCTGATTTAACTCTTTTACTTTTCAATTTTTAAAATTTATTTGAGATATAGTGCAGAGACAGACATATAGACAGATATATTCCATCCAATGGTTCACTTCCCAAATGTCCCCAACAGCAGGGGTGCGCTAGGGCCTGAGCCAAGTCCCCCACATGGTGGCAGGATCACACTATTTGGGCCATCACTGCTGCTCTCCAGGGTCGACAGTGGCAAAAAGCTGGACTCAGAAGAATGGAAACCAAATGACATGGGCACTTTTTTTTTTAAGATTTACTTTATTTATTTGAAAGTCAGGGTTATATAGAGAGAGGGAGAAACAGAGAGAGACAGATCTTCCATCCGCTGTTTTCACTCCTCAAATGGCCACGAAGCCCAGGCTTGGCCAGGCCAGAGCAAAGCCAGGAGTTTCATCCAGGACTCCCACATGGGTTCAGGGGCTCAAGCTCTTGGGCCATCTTGTGCTGCTTTCTCAGGTGCATTAGCAGGGAGCTGAGTCTGAAGTCGAGTAGCAGGGACATGAACCAGTGCCAATATGGGATGCTGGCGGTGCCTGCAGAGGCTTAACCTGGTATGCCACAATGCTGGCCCCAGGACACTAGGCCACACTCTCATTCTAACTTTAAACCTCATTTTGTTTGTGCTAAATTATTTATTTCAAGACAATGTTCTGAGGAATAACAGCATCTGAGTGTTTATTTGCTACTAGGCAGGGTGGATTCTCTGATCTGATCCTCATGGTGGCTACCTGATACCATCACGGCACAGTAGGAAACCATGCTCACGGTCAACAGCCGGGTCAATGGCCATGCTCAGCCCGAGCCCACGTCTGTGCAACTCCAGGCTCTGGTCAACAGATCACAGCAGGGCCTTCTGAGACCAGATGAAAGGCAGATTTCAGAATGCTTTGATAAAGTGCATGCTTTATACAGACTCCAAGTTTTGATTACTTCCAGGATTTATCAAACCATGATAATTAGGCTCAATAAATAATTGGTTGTAATTAAGCCAAAAGTGCTTATGATGTCGGTCCCTGACTTAGGCCAGCTTCCCCCACAGTCCCAGAAGCCCCTTTATCCACAGTAGGGTCGACTATGCCTGGGAAGGCTCCACACAGTTTCCTGACTCCCTAAGCACAGCCACCCTACTTCCTCTCTGCTACCCTGCACCCTCATCCTAACCATTTAGCAAACAAAAAGTCGAAAACATCCTACCTAAGAAATAAGTGACATTCAAGTGTATCAACCCACGATTTCTCTCAGTGAAGGAAAACATTCTCTCTTAGGTGGTCTTTGAAGATTAACAGAACAATTTCTTCATTCTTTCAACTTGATTGGCAGTGTTCAAAACATGGGCAAAAGAAACCAGCCCAGACAATCAAGAGTGGGAGATGGCAACCCCAGGCACGAGGCTGCGCACGAAGCTTTTCACCAGAAGACGGGAGGAGTGCACACCAGGTGCTGCTTCTGTCCGTGGCTTCTCCCAGGGACCAGGGGTTCCCAAGGGATCTTCCAGGAGATGGCAGTTTGTCCTCACTGGTGATTCTGGCCTTTCTATCACACGCATTGCTTTCATCTTTCCCTAGCTTTCCCAAGTATCCAGAGACATTTCGAGTGATAGCACAACAGAAAAAATAAAAAGCCATCAGAGGAGTTCCCCACAATTAACAGCGTGGGGACAAATGCATACATTTGGGGGAAAATACACAAGCTGTATCTCTCCACAAATATGAAAGCAAATTCCAGATGCACTAAATACCTAAACATAAAAGGCAAGTCTATGAAAGTTCTACAAGAGCAGGATTTTTTTTTTTTTTTTGACAGGCAGAGTTAGACAGTGAGAGAGAGAGAGAGAGAGAAAGGTCTTCCTTCCATTGGTTCACCCCCAAATAGCCGCTACGGCCGGCGCACTGTGCCAATCAGAAGCCAGGAGCCAGGTGCTTTCTCCTTGTCTCCCATGCAGGTACAGGGCCCAAGCACTTGGGCCATCCTCCACTGCATTCCCGGGCCACAGCAGAGAGCTGGACTGGAAGAGGGGCAACCAGAACAGAATCTGGTGCCCCAAACGGGACTAGAACCTGGGGTGCCGGCGCCGCAGGCAGAGGATTAGCCTAGTGAGCCACAGCACCGGCCAGGATATTTTCTAAAGTGTAGCACAGAACACAGAGGCCACAAGGCAAAGACATGTCTGACCACTTGACAGTGAAAATTTCTGGACAAATAATCAGGCTGTAGCCCTATGGAAAGGATGCAGGCTGCCCAAAAGAATTACAAAAAGGGACTCGAAGAGATATTGGTACTTTCACATTCACTGCAAAATCAATCTTTTTTTTTTTTTTAATTTTTTTTTTTTTTTTGACAGGCAGAGTGGACAGTGAGAGAGAGAGAGACAGAGAGAAAGGTCTTCCTTTGCCATTGGTTCACCCTCCAATGGCCGCCGCGGCCGGCGCGATGCGACCGGCGCACCGTGCTGATCCGATGGCAGGAGCCAGGAGCCAGGTGCTTTTCCTGGTCTCCCATGGGGTGCAGGGCCCAAGCACCTGGGCCATCCTCCACTGCACTCCCGGGCCACAGCAGAGGGCTGGCCTGGAAGAGGGGCAACCGGGACAGAATCCGGCGCCCCGACCGGGACTAGAACCCGGTGTGCCGGCGCCGCTAGGCGGAGGATTAGCCTAGTGAGCCGCAGCGCCGGCCTGCAAAATCAATCTTAACAGTGAAAAACTGTCAGCAGCCGAGTGTCCAGTGCCTAGGGCACACGAAACGTAGCCACTATACAGGGAATATCACACAGCCTTAAGAGAAAGGCTATCCTGACACCCTGAGGATGAACCTTGAGGGCGTGGTGCCACGGGGAACAAAGCAAAAGGTGCACGACTCCGTCATGAGACACCCCCCCCCAGGACTCGTCACGGGAACAGAAAGCAGTGGGGAGCTTTCCAGGGGCTATCAAAAGGGGAAATGGGGGGGTTACTCTTAATGGATACAGAGTTGCAGTTTTGGAAGCAAAAAAAAAAAAAATTCTAGAGATGGATGATGTTAATGGTGTCATGCCATGCGAATGAACTCTGTGTGACTAAACACTTTTCAAACAGGTTAAAGTGGTAATCATTATTTACCACACTAAAAGGAGTTTGCCACATCTGTAGTGAGAAAATGTTTCTGTCAATAAAATTCCAAGTATTTTAATTAACAGCCTAAATCACTGCTACACATCAACAAAAAGACAACTTAATTTAAAAAGAAAACGAATATAGCCACCTTCACAGATACAAAAGGACAGGAAAACCATGAACGGCCTTGCAAATTCTGGTCATTAGGAAAACTAAAATTAAAAAATTGGCCGGTGCCACGGCTCACTAGGCTAATCCTCCGCCTTGCGGCGCCGGCACACCAGGTTCTAGTCCCGGTCGGGGTGCAGGATTCTGTTCTGGTTGCCCCTCTTCCAGTCCAGCTCTCTGCTGTGGCCCGGGAATGCAGTGGAGGATGGCCCAAGTGCTTGGGCCCTGCACCCCATGGGAGACCAGGAGAAGCACCTGGCTCCTGCCTTCGGATCAGCACGGTGCGCCGCCGCAGCGCGCCGGCCGTGGCGGCCATTGGAGGGTGAACCAACGGCAAAGGAAGACCTTTCTCTCTGTCTCTCTCTCTCACTGTCCACTCTGCCTGTCAAAAAATAAAAAATAAATAAAATAAAAAATTATGAACACCATCACCTAGTGTCTGCACAAAGGGACTTTGTTAACAAAAGGGAAGTAGTTCAGCATGCAATCTGATACAATACTGTACTGGGGGTGGGATTTTTAATCTGTCACAACTGAAAATGGATGGAGAAAGTGTATGGCCCAGCAGGTGAGGAGCCTGCATTTCACACTGGAGTGCCCGGGGCAGGTCCTGGTTCTGTCCCGATCCAAACTTCTAACATGCACCCTGGGAGGTGGTGGTGATTCCTCACATAGCTGAGTCCCTGATGCCCAAGTGGGAGACATGGAGTGCATTCCTAGCCCCCAGGTTCAGCCTGCCCAGTTCCAGCCATAAAGGCATTTGGGGAATGAACCAGCAGATGGGAGCTATCTCTTTCTCAAATAAATAATAACAATAGTAATAAAATATGTAACAGCTATATGAACCTTAATATAAATCCCACTTCTAGTTCCCTAGCTTACAAAAATAAAGTGCATGAAGATATGTAACGGTGAAAACTGGAAGCAACCTAAAGTTCACTGGTGACACACCCAGGTGCTTGTTTACTACGAGGCAGAGAAAGGATGAAGTCAGCCTGGATGCGCTGGCGTGGAAGGGGACAAGCAAAGCCCAAAACAACCCATCGTGAGCAGCAGCGCTCTTGGAAGTGGTGGCTATGCCCCATCAGTGGGATGGATAAACCGTGACACCACCCAGCAGACAGCACAAGTGAGCTACTGCCACAAGACACATGAGGAACTGCATCAAGTTCATGCTGTGGGCCAGAAACCAGAACATGTACGGAATGCCAGGAAAACAGGCACAGCTACTCAGTGCTGTTAGCAATCTCTGGACAGAGCAGTGAGGGCTGGGGGTGGACGGCTGGGGCCTTCTGTGTGCTGGTTTTCCCAGAGATTGCGCTGCTCTCCAAACAGCTGCAAAGGACGACCCCATTTTCATCCAAATACACACATTCTGGGTCCCAGCTCTGTCACTGACACAGACAGGTAACAAAAGCAGCTACCATCATAGGGTCTGTGTGAGGCTCAAACGACAGAATGTCTGGGCACGTGGCAAGTGTCAGGCAAGTGTGTGTGCTACCTGTGCACATATAAGACACATAAATTCATGCTTAAAAGAACATGTGATGTGCCTCCACATGTAAGTAAAAGCCACACGTAAATGACAGCAGTGCCCAAGGAGGGGAGTAACCAGGGTTGCCATTTCCGACTTCCTCATTTCCCATTAGATTGGATTTACCATGGTAAATACTGTGCGTTAAGTGTGCAGTGGATATGTACGTGGAAATAAGAAACTGTGCGGTTACTTCTAAGATGCTCCACAAGTCCATTCAGACTAAAAGGCATCCATTCCTGCGGCAACTGGCTTCTGAACATGGACTGGTTACAGTGTGAAACTGTGTGCCCGTGGACGGGAACTGGAGTCCGCATACGCACGAGAAACGCTGGCTTTGCGGGAGGTAGGGCTATTATCCACCCCCACCCCCGCCCCGCCAACCTGTTTTCGTATGGTTGCTGTATTCTCCTGATGGGAGTCTCCTTGGAGGAACGTGACCTGGAGGACTGGAGCTCTCACGCCTCCTCTGAGCACCATCATGGAACCGCCATGTTCTACCTGTTCACACCTGCAGTACCACACACTGCACCTCCCCCACCCACCTGTCTCCTGCCCTCTGCCTGGGGGCTTCTCCTCCAAGCTCTGAGGGGCAGCAAGGCCTGGGAGCCTGTGAGGCCCTCACTGGGCCACAGTTCCACCAGGGCAATGGACCATCCCACACCACCCTCTTGGATCTGGTGACTCACATTAGGCTCCATGGGGCACAGAGTTTGAGATCTGCACACTCAGCTCACCACATGACAGCCTGTAACATACGGGCTCCGCATGTCACACGCCATAGTCTTATGACATCATCTAACTTTCTGTGCGCTTGCATTGGTGTGCAAGCAGCTGGGCGCACAGAGTGTTGTCCCCAGTATTCATCAACGCTCCCTCCCCTGCTCACTAGCATGTGACCATCAAGAGAGCTTCTGCCTTATCTGTCATACACACAAAATCACTGGGACACACACAGAACTCCTGTTTCCTCCTGGTTTTGTAAGAAACTGAGGCACAGAGCAACCAGGTATGGTAAAGACTCATCAACAGCACACAGGCCACAGACAGGGATGTGGGCCACACACCCTCAGCCTCTCAACAAACAGCTCCCTACTACCGAGAAGGTGGGCAGCCATGGGCGAGACCACTTCCCTGGGGGAGGAAGGGTGGGGAAGAAGAGTGTCCTCCCACCAAAGCCGGCTGCAGCGAGGCGCAAAGTTCAAACCAGGTCTCCCGCAGCGAGCAGCAGCAGACACGGCCAGAAAGACAGGGCCTCTGTGGGCCCTTCAGTCCCTTCGTGCCAATTCAGAAACTCCAGGAACCCCCGCCTGGAAAGCAGAGAACCTGCCGACGCCAGCTGCCACCAAGCCCTCCGGTCAGAGGCCCTTGCACAGTGAATGCTCTGTACAACTGTGCACGGCAGCTCAAGACTCCAGAGAACACTACTCCACAGTCAGGCTGCCTGGGTGGGGACCAGCTCCACAGCAGCTCTGGCACAGGACACCTGGTCTATGTTCAGTTCTCTCTACTTCTTCATCTTCAAAATGGGTACGGAGGCTGGCATTGTGGCATAGTGGGTAAATAGGGGCAGCAGTTCAAGTCCCGGCTGCTCCACTTCCGATCCAGCTCCCTGCTAATGGCCTGGGGAAAGCAGAGGAGGATGGCCTAAGTGTCTGGGCTACTGTCACCCAGGTGGGAGACCAGAAAAAGTGCCTGTCTTCAGCCCAGCCCAGCCTTGACCACTGAGGCCATTTGGGGAGTGAATTGGTGGATGGAAAGTTCCTCTCTCCCTCTCTCCCTCTCTCTCTGTAACTGTGAATTTCAAATAAATAAATCTTTTTTTTTAAAAAAAAAGAACGAAACTCAATTTAAAAAAGCAGATATGGTTCTGGTGCTTATTTCACACCATGACGACAGGGAGGATCAGTCAATGGGCTTTATGGTGTGAGTTGCTTTTAGCAGGCCAAACTTTCAATATAGCACAAAGGCACTTCAAAAGTGTTTTTGGAAAATAAAATTTAAAAATAAGTAGTAAAAAAAATTGAAATCCATGTATGGAGAGATCTTCAAAAAGTTCACAGAGGGTCAGACATTTGGCACAGCAGTTAGGATGCCAACCTGGACATTCATGTCCCAGATGAAAAGGCTAGATTCAAGTCCTAGCTCCACTCATCCCAGCTTCCTGGTGATGCACACCTTGCGACACAACATGGCACGACATGAGATGACATGGCACGACATGAGATGACATGGCACGACATGAGATGACATGGCACGACATGAGATGACATGACACGACATGAGATGACATGACACGACATGAGATGACATGGCACGACATGAGATGACATGACACGACATGAGATGACATGGCACGACATGAGATGACATGACACGACATGAGATGACATGGCACGACATGAGATGACATGACACGACATGAGATGACATGGCACGACATGAGATGACATGGCACAATGGCGAGTTATAGCTCAAGTGCTTGGGTCTGTGCTACCCATGCGGGAGACCCAGATGGAGTTCCCAGATTCTAGCTTCAGCCTGGCCAAGCCCTGGCTGTTCCAAACATTTGGAGAGTGAACCAGCAGAGGGGAAATCTCTGTCTCTCAGCCTTTCAAATAATTTTTTTAAAAAATTCATGGAAAATACGCATTATGGAAAAACGAGGCATGGATTTCAACCTTTCGAAGTTCCTTCACGTTCTGTACCCTTAAGTTCAGAACGTCTGATTCACGTCTCATGAAGCAGCAATGCACAACCATGATGTGCGTGTGTCGCCATGTGGAGTGACGTTCACTACTGGACACAGAAGAGCACCAGCTAGTGACGTCCGTTAAGCACATTCCTGAGTCTACCATGCTTTCACTCTGAACTGGAAAGGAAGGGGAGGATGAGAGACGCTCCCACTTTTGTGACGGATTAGTTTGTTTCTGCAAACTGAGCAAACAACATAGGAAATAAAGTTTGTACCTAAGCTTTTCTCTTCATTTGGAAAAAAACCCTAGTGGCAAAAACCCGGCTCTCAGCAAACAGACCCATTTCCACACAGAAACCAGGATACACACTTCCACCCATTAAAACAGCGTGAAAAGAACCCCGAGGACGCTCGGGGTTCAGCACTGAGCAAGTGAGGCGGTTTCTGGTGCTCATTCAGCACTCGGACAGCGAACAGCTCTCTGCCCACTGGTACCTGAGACTCCTTGAGCCCCAAGGTGGCAGCCAGCTTTTTCCGGTCAGTTTTGCTGATGTATTTCTGCTTCTGGAACATCTTCTCCAGGGCCTTCCTCTGGTCCTCAGAAAAGACAGCTCTTCTTAAAATGCCCCTGCGGGCTTTGGAGTTGGAGTCCTGCGTCAGGACTGGCAGCACGTTCTCTTCTCCTAGGGCAGGAAGGAGACAAAAGCCAGACAGCGTCACAGAGAAGCCCCGCTCCGCCTGCAGCCGAACTGGCACCGGCTCACCTCTGAGCTCTGCACACCCGGAAGCCATGTCCCTTAGCCTCCTTTTGGTTATGGGCCCCTTTGTAATCTAAATAAATACTTGCCACTCCCAACTTGTGCTCTGTGGCACAGTCCACAGTCACAGGTCCCAGAAGCCCAGGTAGAACACACAGCAGGTGATGTGAACACATCTCCAATTCCCCACCTTCTTATTCATTCAAATCCTTTTGTCAACAAATTTGTGAGTACTTCACCAGGCGCCAAGCCCCCTGCTCAGTCATCCAGATGGAGAAATAAAACAAACGTGTGTCGTCACCCCGACTGCCTGGAAGATCTTACGGACAAGCATCCCTAAGCTGGGAGCTTTGGGAGCACAGGACAAAAGACCTGACCTGAGTCTAGGATGCCGGGGCCAGCTTGCAAGAGCCAGCAGATTAACTCTAAGAGCCAAAGGCAGGACTGGGGGACCGTGAAGGCTGCCCCAGAGGGCCCTGGCTGTGGGCTCCTGGAGAGCAGGCACAGTCACTCTCTCATCTGCCTCCCCACAATGCATCCAAACCCAGCCCCCACGTTCTGGGAGCCACAAGCACTCGTCACTCATTTGGTGTCTCAGGCATGGCAGGCAGCACCACAGCCCCCCCCCCCCCGGGTGTCCTACCGATGCCCCACAGCCCCTGCATGTGTTGCACTGCACACAGGGGAGCCAAGACGCCAAGCTCCCATCCTGACTGTCCAGTTAGTCCAGGGGAGGCAGAAAGAGAGAGGCAAAGCTGGGCTGACATCAGAGCTAGATCTGCAGATGTATGTGCCTCATGTTGAAGCAGGAAGAGGCCGTGGGCCAACGACTGGGGCAGCCTCAGGAAGCCAATAAAGTGCATGGACACAGATTCCCCCCAGAGCCTCCAGCCGCCTCCTGGGTGTTAGCACTGCAGACCTGTTCAGGCTGCCACCGTCTGCACATACGAGGGAGGCAGTGAGGATGTGTGGTTCTCAGACACACAGTCTATGGTAGTGATCTGCTCCAGCAGCAGCAAGAAACCAGCACACTGGGCACGAGACCCTCCCAGGCCACTGCTGAGAAAGCCAAACAGCACACAGCCCTTGGCCGAGAGCTACCCCTCCTCCCGGGAGAACGGACACACTGTGGCCCAAGAACAGACACAACTCCATGGCCCAAGCACTAGGAGAGCAGCATGTGTGAGTTATAGCTGTGCCTGGCACACGGGCACTCAGGAAACCCTGAGCTCAGAGCAAACAGGCAGGCACAGTCACATCTAAAACAACACATGGGCTGGCACTGGGGTGAAGCAGGTAAAGCCAACATCCCACAAGGGTGCTGGTTCATGTCCCTGCTGCTCTACTTCCGATCCAGCACCCTGCTAATGCCTTGGAAACAGCAGCGGAAGACGGGCCAGTGCCAGGGCCACTGCACCCATGGGGGACTGGAAGAAGCTCTTGGCTCCTGGCTCCAGCCTGGTCATTGCAGCCATGTAGGGAGTAAACCAGCTGATGGAAGTGTACCTGCTCACTCGCTCGCTCTCTTACTCTTTCAAATAAATAAATAAATCTTTTAAAAAATTTTAGGGGCAAGCACTGTGGCATAGCAGGTAAAGCTATGGTCTGCAGCACCAGCATCCCATAATTGTGCCAGTTCAAGTCCTGAATGCTCCACTTGCAATCCAGCTCCCAGCTAATGGCCTGGAAAAGCAATACAAGATAGCCCAAGTCCTTGAGGCCCTGCACCCACATGGTAGATGCAGAAGAAGCTCCTGGTGCCTGGCATCAGATCAGTCCAGCTCCGGCCATTGCAGCCAGATGGGGAGTAAACCAGTGAATAGAAAACCACTCTCCCTCTGCCTCTCCCTCTCCCTAACTCTTTCAGATAAATAAATACATAAATATTTTGAAAAATGTAAAAATAAAAAAGATAGATAAAGAAAGAACCATGGCCAATCCAGGCTCAGTGGCCGCCAGTCCAGGAACTCTGAGGCAGAGAGGATGACACGGGTACAGGGAACAGCAAGGGGCCTGCAGACTGTGCAAAGGCAAGAGCAGAGGTGCAACCAGCAACCTGGAGGTGGGCTTGGTTCCACCATAGGGGAGCTGCCTATGCCAAAATATCACCAGCCACCTTGTACATATGTACAAGTTTCGGGCGTTAAAAAATAAATAATTTAGATTAATCCATCCAGATTTTAAAATTGGAAGGTTTTATGTGCAATCCAGGTTTCTGACCATTCCCTCAAAGGCAACAGCATGGAGTTTACAACTCCGGGTTCAACCTCCCACAAAACACAACCCGCAGAGTGGCAGGGGCTCCTTGAGGTGGAGCAGGCACCCCTGACTTCCCAGTGGTCATCATGCTCAGGGCAGGGCAGGCTGGGCCTGGAAGACATGAGGGCACTGGGCACAGAGATTATGGAGTGGACAGGAGCTGATCACAGGGAACTGCAGGGGTCTGGGACGTCACCTGGCAGGAAGGGAAGATGGTGGAGATGTCGATGCTAAGGCAGGAGTGGCAACAGGGCACCCACTGAGTGCTGAGTCTGCAGTGACACTAGCTCCGTGTGTAGCCACAATGCACACGATTTCCTTTAATCCTCCAAACCATGCCCTGAAAACCATCATTCTCTCCATTTTACAGATATAAAATGAAGCAAAGTGAGTAACTTTGTCCAAGTCCACATGGCACTGGTTGCAAATCCAGTAAGCCTACTCCAAAGCAAACCTTTCACCACCACCACACCACTGCCTTGTATTTAGGAAGATGCCAATCAAGCTGGCCACTTCTGCTTCTGTGACACTTCCCTATACTTCTAACAGGTTATAAACAGGCTCTCCCTGGCTCTCCCCTCATTCCAGTTCACCTTACCACCACAACATCACTCACCGCCTCCCCTCCGTGCCTCCCTTCTACAGGGCAGCAATGCCGTAGCCCAGGGGTGCTGAACCCACTCCCCCGTGTGATCCAGGTTATTCCTATGGCACTCATGAGTTTTGGAAATCATGTCTCAAACGGCAGGGCAGTGCTGGTCACGCCCTCCTGCAGCCCCTCCAGAGCACAGAGGGGCCCTATGGTCTTCCTAGACATCAGCCCAAGCAGAGCTACTGCTGGGTCCTGTCTTCCCACCACAGCAACCCAGCAGAAGCCTGCCTGTCAGTGGCGCTCAGCAACCTGTGAGATGCCAGATTCACTGGAGCTCGACTGAAGCTTTGCAGCAGCTGGCTTCACACCATGCCCACTCCCTGCTGCCCACAGGCATGCCCAGGACCGCCCTGTGCCCCCCATAGCTGCTCGTCCCACCTGGGATGGGCCTCGCTTGGTCTCCTGTCCTGTTCCAGCCTCTGCTCCCAATCTGCCCACATGCATGCCCAGGACCGCCCTGTGCCCCCCATAGCTGCTCGTCCCACCTGGGATGGGCCTCACTTGGTCTCCTGTCCTGTTCCAGCCTCTGCTCCCAATCTGAGCTGCCTGGGATTCCAGCAGGCCGCGGAGAGCCATGGAAGGCCCCTTCTAATAAGCCATGCTGTCTAAGGGCTGCTTTCTGTGATAGTCCAGGTGTGCAAAGCACCTCTGAACCAGCTCTGGAGACTACAGCCACCCTTTCTGAAATAAATTCTCCATTCCTTTTACAAGGACTCAGCAGCTTCTCAGAGCTGGAGGAGCCAGGAGGTCATCTGTCCAGTCCGGGCCTTTCCCACAAGCTGGCTAGGATGCCATCACCAACTGTTTCTTCCAGCATCCATGCATCTCTATCTCTCCTCAAATGGGGGTGGATTTTGCCCTTGGCTCATCCTGTCCTTATGGTTGCTATGTCTGTCTCCTGCCTTCAAAGAGTTCTCCTCACCCCTATCTTGTGCAGCCATATGCAATTTCTGTTTATTTGAAGTCTGGAGAGAATTGCTACAGCATTAGCTTAACCTGCCTTAAGTGTTACAGTAAATTTCAGGGACAGGCATTTGGCATGGTACCTGCCATGCCACTTGGAATACTTTCCTCTCACACTAGAGTGCTGATGTGGGCGTCCCGGCTCAAGTGCATCCTGGGAGGCAGTTTAAGTGCTTGGGTCCCTACCACCTACATGGGAGACCTAGATCAAGTTCTGTGTTCTGTCTAGCCCAATAGCACCTGTTACGAGCTATCAGGAAGCGAGTCAGCAAATGGAAGATCTCTCTCTCTCTCTCTCTCTCGATACCTCTCTCTCTGCCTTTCAAATAAAGTGAAAATAATAATTTTTTAAAAGTCTACCCTCCAGTCTCCCACACAACCTGGTGCAGGGTTTGCTATATGACAATACTTAACAGGCTGATTTCTAGAAATGCATCCCGCAAATGAAGCCCAAATTTAATGTTTACTAATTCCACTCACTGGTCTCAAGCTCACTCTTTAAAGCTATACTGCATTGAGTGAATCTAAGTTGAAGTCACGTTCCTATCATGTCTTCCCCAGGCTAAGAAGATGCAATTTCTTTCAAAATTCCTGACCAGTCACGCAGACCCTTGGCTATTTGAGTTGCTGTCGCCTACCTCTTCACATGGGTTTCCTCTGAGAGTCTGTGCAGTGTGGGTAAAGCAGTTCTCAGAAACTCAGCAGGTGTAGGTATCTGGCCACTGCACGGTCTCGCTTGTTCTGGCCCATGCTGTACCCCCCACACCCACACTGAGCCGACAGATACTCCCTTCCTCCTCGGTCCGCTCAGCTCATTCTCCCCTTCCCCTGTGCCTGTGTGCTTGTCTGCAGGAGTAGGAGTCTCTGAGCAGCCCTATTAGATTTCACATCATGTTCCGCGAGGGCTACCAGATCTGGGACAAGCACCCCATACCTCCCAGCACTCCCCATGCCCTCTGCCCCGCCCCGCTGACCACGCCAGTGACGGCGCCCCTCGCGGTCAGCGCCTTCTCATCTCTGTAACTGCTGAACAGAGCCATCAACTTGGAAAATCGATTGTCTTCCAGTCTCTGCTCCTTGAAAGATTCTTCTTGGTTGACCGAATGCCATTTATGTGTGGAACATCCCTCCCTTCAGCTGTGAAGACTCGGTGTCTGCACTGAACTCACTGCACAGACAAGAAACCACAGAACTACGCTTCTCCCTGAGCAGGAAAATCCGGAATGAACATTAAATCCTTATTTAAGAAAAAAAAAAAACTGCACGCAGCCTGCAGGGACTTCCTCGGGTCTGGGTCCATTTCCGCGGCCCCTGCACGCAGCCTGCAGGGACTTCCTCGGGTCTGGGTCCATTTCCGCGGCCCCTGACCACTGCAGCTGAGAGGAGTAACAGCAGGAGGCCAGCCCAGGAGGCAGCAATGCTCATCAGAGCTTTCCCATGTTCCATCGTGAAACACAGAGAGCAAAGCTGGGCCCAAGGCAGCAAAAATCATGCCTTTTCCCTACTGCCCATCCCCCCACAATCCTAGACGCATGTGAAGACAGTTCGCATTCTCTGAAGTCTTAATAAGGAGGACAGAATAGCAAAATGGTCTCGAAATGTAGAAAACACAGTCATCTCCCAAGAAAAAGCCAGGGCAGTTTCTCCCAAAAGAAACCCCCTCAGGTTTCCGTAATTCTACTCCAAACTGAGGCTTTGTCCTTTAGGTAGTGAAATTCTTAAAAGGTCAAATTCAAGTTGGTACTTAAAGACAAAATAAAATAATTAATTCAGTTAGCTCATCAACATAATTAAGACTTTTTTCCAGAAGTTTTTTAAAAAGTCATTATCTGCATACTTCTGCAACTTTCCACTTTGTTTTCGCTGGGAAATGTGGTCCCCTGAAAAGAACCCTCTGCAAGCAAAACCACAGATTTTCCATACACTGCTCTGGGGGACGGGAACATGACCCCTGCCTGGAAGGCTGTGCTCCAACAGCCTATGAAACTATTCATTATGCACGAGAAGGGCACCCGATTAAAGATCGCTTCCACATTGCAACAAGAAGTCAGTCTTAACTCGGAGAACAAGAGGAACGGAATCAGTATTAAGCGAATGGATCACATGTGAAGGATCAAAATGATACTTCACTTGCAGCATGAACAGGCATCAGGTGATGCCAGTATCAGGAAACATGATCGGGCTGTGGTTCCATCACCTTTTGAAGGTTTCTAGCACAAACTTTAATTTTGGCTGTCTTAATACAAGTTTACTTGGGCAGTTCACTTTCTTTCCTTTGTACAGTGGAAAATAATTTAAAAGCCTGGGCATAAAAATCATTCTTATTAAAAAAAGAAAATCCAGTAAATGCCTTAAATAAAAGTATTATTGTGCACATGGAAGCCTTATTAACTATGCCTTGGTATCATGGTTATTTATGTGAAATTCTTTACTGACAGCATAATTCCACCATTTAGTTATTACTTGCTGCCAGTATGAATGAATACTATAAGCAAGAAAATAAATGCATTTTAGAGTTGTTATAGCTAATAATATGAGACACCAGTTTATTAAAACCACTTGTGATTTCTTTAAACCTTTTAAATGCCAACCAAAAAGGGAGGCAAACCACAGAGGTTTTTTTCTTAATTTAAAAAAATTTATGTATTTTATTTACTTGAAAGGCAGAGACATACAGAGACAGAGACAGGAAGAGATAGAGAGAGCGAGCTCTCCCATCTGCTGGTTCACTCTTCCAATGGCCACAATAACTAGGGCTGAGCCAGGATGAATTTGGGAGCCCGGAACTACATCGAGGGCTCCCATGTGGATGGAAGGGACCCAATTACTTGAGTCATCACCTGCTGCTCCTAGAGTACACATTAGCAGGACGCTGGAATCCTGGGATTGCAACCCAGGCACGCTGACATGAGCCCCAGGCATCCCAAGCAGTGGCCCAGCACTCTGCCAAGCTACACCTACAACAAGTGCGGTGTCTTCTACCCTTGTCCTGAGCTGTGCTGATTTTCAGCTTGCATATTTACCAAAAAGAAAAAAAAAAGGATAAACACAGGATTCCACAAACTTGCAGGGATAAACACATAGTCCACAACTGTTCTGCAAAAGGCACGGGGCAGGGAGGCCTGGAAGCGGACACAGGAAACTGTACCTGCCCCACTTTCTCAACAGCTGGCAAGGTGAAGTTCACTAGGAGTGTCTTCAGCATGACTTTTACGTGCTCCATTTTGTTTTTTTAAAAAACCAGCCTAACATTTTGTCCTGTTTATTAAACTGGCCCAAACGGTCATGACTCAGAGACGCCTGGATTCCCACTATAAAATAAACACACCTACTCATAGCCACATACACGAGACATGCCCGTGGCAGGACCTTCTGTCCACGTCCACTTACCTGAAACGCGCTGGAGTCGGTTCAGGCCCAGAAAGGCTAGTTCCAGGCGAGATCCTGGAAACCAACCTCACTGACTGTCCACTGCCGACCGCCACAGGGGTGGCCCCTGGGCGTGGTGCCAGGTGTCTGCGTTTTAACTTAACTCTCAGCTCGAGAGTCCGCCCGATGCTCTCAGGGATGGAGATAAATGTCCCCTTAATTTGCACGGTGGTTTTCAACTGCCCTCATGGCAGACCACCTTGAAGAGCGAGTAAAAGGGTTAGTCACGGTTCCCACTTGGCTGTTTGCAGTCAATGCCTTCTAGCTAAGTGGACAATTAATAGGTCACTTCCAAAACAGAGGCGAGTCAGCGCCGGTCACCGCGGAGAATGGGCCCTGTGTCCCGGGCAAGTCGCCGCCGCCCTGGGCTCCCGCACGCAGCCCCTTTTCAGGTGGACAGGGCTCTATGGGAAGATGAGCTGGGGCGAGTCTATAAACGTCAGGCGCATTCAGGCATTCTTTCTCAGCCAGGGGCCTGAAACGCTGCCCAGAAGCCCGCCTGGAATGCGCGCGGGCCCCGGCTCCCCCGCACACAAAGGCGCGGCTGACCCCTGCCCGGGCCCCCTCCATGTGAACCGGCTCCCGCGCTCCGTCCGCCGAGTGAAAAATCGCGCTGGGGTCGCGTGTGGGCGAGGCGAGAGACAGTGCCGATTGGTCACGGCTCCGGCGCCCATTGTGGCGGGGCCGCAGCCCTGTCAGGCGCGCTGTGGGAAAGTGCCGGCCCCCCGAGGCGGCGCTCCGGGGCCGCGGCTCGTCAGGCGGCCGGGCGGGCGGCCGCGCGCGTCTGCAGGCTGCGCCCCGGGCGTCGGCGCTCCGGCGGGGACGCGCGCAGTGCCGCGCCTGGGCCGCCCGCCGGGGCCGCTTCCCCGGGAGCTCCGCGCGGTGCTGAGGGCGGCGCCGGGGCTGAGGGAGCCTGCGCTGCGGGCGACGGTGGCGGGGACCCGCGTGCAGCGCCTGGGTCGCTTCCCCGGGGCCTCCGCGCGGTGCTGAGGGCGGCGCCGGGGCTGAGGGAGCCTGCGCTCCGGGCGCGACGGCGGGGACCCGCGTGCAGCGCCTGGGCCGCTTCCCCGGGAGCTCCGCGCGGTGCTGAGGGCGGCGCCGGGGCCGCGTCCCCGGGAGCTCCGCAGGGTGCTGAGGGCGGCTCCCGGGCTGCGCGCTCCGGGCGCGACGGCGGGGACCCGCGTGCAGCGCCTGGGCCGCGTCCCCGGGACCTCCGCGCGCTGCTGAGGGAGCCTGCGCTCCGGGCGCGACGGCGGGGACCCGCGCACAGCGCCTCGACCGCCCGCCTGGCCGCCGGGGCCGCTTTCCCGGGACAACCGCGGGGTGCTCGCCCCCGCTGCGGTGCTAAGGCCGGCGTCGGGCGGGCTGCGGGGGGCTGCGCCTCGCCCGGGCTCCCCGACTCCCCTCGCGCGCGCGCGGCGCGGCTGACTTACTTGGAAAGGCGGCGGCGGGCGCGGGGCGCCGGCAGGACCCACCGCAGCAGGCCGAGTAGAAGGCCGGGGCGCTCAGGAGCAGGGGCTTGGCGGGCGCTGTGGAGGAAGCAGGGAGGGCGCGGGTTAGACGAGGCTCAGGACCCCAGGCCCCCCGAAGGCACCTCGCGTCCCCCGTCTGAGCTCGGGCAGAAAGCCGTGCACAGGTGGGAGCTGTCAGGAGCTGGAGGATATGGTGGGGAAAATACACAAATAAGCGTCAGGCACCGAGCTCCCCGCCTCATTATAAATACGCGGCGACCTTCCTTACTTGGACGCAGCCCACCAAAACCATCTGTGGTGATGGGAATGTCGCATCCGCACTGCCCAGTGTGGTACCTGCTGGCCACACTCAGCCAGCGAGCCCAGTGTGGTACCTGCTGGCCACACTCAGCCAGCGAGCCCCTGAAATGTGGCCGGCACGAATGAGCAGCTCAATTTTTCATCTAAATTAATTTAAATTTGGACTCATGTGGCTAGAGATTACAGTACCACATAGTACAGCTTTGGATACTCTACTTACCAGGAAGCAATTTAAATGCTGTATCTGTAAGCCTACTTTTCCAAGAGATTATGAACCACTTCACTGCTCGCATTTTCAGAAGGTTTCATAACATGCACAGTTGGGTTCCCAAGTTGGTAACAGTTCATTTACTGGATAATTCCCCAGCAAAAAGTGTTTCCGATCACATTTATGCGTTTTAAAGTATTTGAGAATAACCACATTTTGTCTAAGAAATCTAGTTAACCTGAAAGCATTGCAAGTGTTTATAGTATAGGAAGTTCCCATATCACTCCGCTCTGCTCACTTTATTAGACTGTGCTGTTCACAGAATTTTCAAGAAATAGGCACCAAGAGTCCCAACTACTCTAATAGCAAAGGTACACAAAGGACCTTTGCTGGCGTCCAACAAGTTCTATAAAGTTGTTTTGAAGTTTCATGGTTTTCATAAATTGCTCTCATATTTTGACTGTTAAACCACCATAGTAATGACCAGTCATTTCATTTGAATTTAACACTTTAGGTGAAATATTAAACTCCATTCCTCAGTAGGTGGAAAATACCCACGAGGGGTGTTGCCGGGAGAACAGGACTTCCCTGGTGTCCTGCACAGCAGCCCAGGCACTGGCTAAGTGCCTTCAACACAGCAGGCCCTTTAACCCACTGCAGTTCATAGAGCAGGGGTGTGGGTGCCGGGAGCAGGGGTGTGGGTGCCGGGGTGCTGAAGCTGGGCTCTAGCTTTCACCAGGACACACCCAGTAGCGGGCCTTCCACATTCTGGACAGTCAACCCATTCTTAGCAAGGGAGCCAACAATGAGATAGGAAACCTCCCCGGCTCTCTTACAGAGTGAGTGACCTCCATCCCTGTTCTCTGACTCACCCTAACTATCTCACTTAACTTAGGACCTAGACATCTGCAACATGACTTGAAAATGAGAATGTTTTTCTATTTTTCTTCCTTCAAGAGGCAACTTCTTTTGTTTTCTTAATCACATAAGGGAAGGTTCTTTTGAGAGGACAATATACCTTTTTGAAGAACATCGTAAATTCAGAGTTAATTTTAATCCATCGATAAGCATCTGTTTATTTTCACCAATTTCTTTAAAGGATGTATTACAATAAATGTATTGCCCAATAATTTTACAATATCCCATGGTCCTGAATGCCTTGAAATGGTCAATTAATCATAAATGCAGTTTTTTCCTGTAACACAACAGAAAATAGTCAGTATTCATGCTTTTAGCATTTAATATCTGCATTTCAAAAAAATGAATGTGTTTTAATGCTGTTTTACAACATGGCAACCAAGTAAAGGTTTGAAAAGGAAACTCATTTGGCACTTAAAAAGTTTTACAAATTATTTTTAGGTTTCACAGTTACCATAAGTTTTGCTAGTAGTGATTATAAAACCATCATAGAGAGGATAAATGTTTTCATTTGAATTTCACTTAAATTACATCACAAGAGTATGGCATGATTTCGGCAGATTTCCATCTTCATGACTACTATGAAATATGAAGCACTGTGGAAAATGGAAATATATTTCTAAGTATAAAAGTTGCCTTATGACGGTTATTCAAGAATTTGTGTTAGCTAACTTACCGCCACTCCAAAATACACACTCTATAGGTAACTAAATCATGGCTATTGTGTTAGGGTGTGTGTGTTTGTGTGTGTGAGAGAGAGAGAGAGGGAGGGAGGAAGAAAAAGGAAAAAGACTCAGCAATAGTGCATTTACATATAAAAAATTAAACATATGCCATGTTAGATGGAAATACCAAACAAAAGTATGGGTTCGGGGGTGTTCTTTGTTTTGCTCAACATAGTGTATAAAAAAATAAATCATATACCAGCAACACATCAATATAAAGATGCAGGGTATGTATAATTTACAGTTTCCTATTCCAGCCAAAATGTTCCTCAGTCTAGCTCTATGGTTGTAATAACTGAAAAATAAAGGATAACACATGGTTTATCTGAAACAAGTGTCAAATTCCTTGTGGTCTGCATATGTCTATCTTAATGTTAAATATTTTTAATGTTAAATTTAACTAGAAAAAGTTGTAACCCAACAGTCCTAGATTTCTGTATATTATCCTAATACAAGAGAGTTATAATTACCAAAAACATGTAAGAAGAATCTACCATAACAACTCCAGTTTTGACTAAAGAATTGGCTTTCCATTCTGTGACACCACCAGCCTTAGCATCCTGGTACATAGCATTTATTCACATTTTAAAGACCTCTGTGGGGCCTGCATTGCGGCATAGTGTGTAAAACCACCACCTCTTAAGCCAGCATCCCATATGGGTGCCAGTGCATGTCCTGGCTGCTACAATTCTTTTTTTTTTTTTTTTTTTTTTTTTTTGACAGGCAGAGTAGACAGTGAGAGAGAGAGAGACAGAGAGAAAGGTCTTCCTTTGCCTTGGTTCACCCTCCAATGGCCGCCACGGCCGGCGCGCTGCAGCCGGCGCACCACGCTGATCCGAAGGCAGGAGCCAGGTACTTCTACTGGTCTCCCATGGGGTGCAGGGCCCAAGGACTTGGGCAATCCTCCACTGCACTCCCGGGCCACAGCAGAGAGCTGGCCTGGAAGAGGGACAACTGGGACAGAATCCAGCACCCTGACTGGGACTATAACCCGGTGTGCCGGCACCACAGGCAGAGGATTAGCCTAGTGAGCCGCGGCGCCAGCCAAGGCTGCTACAATTCTGACTGAGCGCCCCACCAATGGCCTGGGGAAGCAGTGGGAGATGGCGTAAGTACTCGGGCCCCTGCACCCACGTGGGAGACCTGCAAGGAACTCCTGGCTCTAGCCTGGTCCAGCCTCGACCATTGCTACCATCTAGGGAGTGAACCAGCAGATGGAAGATCTCTCTTTCTCTGTAACTCTGACATTCAAATAAATAAATAAATCTTTAAAAAAATAAAACCACCACCTCTGTGCCACACATATTGACACAGGAGACAGGTCAATCGATGACCACGGCACATAAATGTACCTGGTTTAGGCTGGTCTATGGAAATCACTGTGAAATTCCACTTGGGTGCCCCTTTTCTGCTTCTCCCCACGCACCCACGAGGATGTAAGCCAGACACTGGCCCAGCTGGGCATGTGGCTGCCGTTCTGCTGAGAGGCGCGAAGAAGTCAGTGCTTACCACAGCACCGTGCATTCAACATGGGTCTCACACTTCCAGCACTTTTCCTTTCAAGGGAACCACGTATTTTCTGGAAGTAATGAATGATGAAGATACTCAAAACTCGGAGGAAAACCAAGTGGCAAGGGGACTGATGCATTAGCACTTTTATAAGCTCGGGGCCAGCACTGTGACGCCAGCATCCCATGTGGGCAGCGGTTCGTGTCCCAGCTGCTCCACTGCCCATCCGGCTCCCTGCCAATAGCCTGGGGAAGCAGCAGAAGATGGTGTAAGCACTTGAGGTCCCGCACCATGTGGGAGACCTGGACGAAGCTGCTGGCTCCTGGCTTCAGCCTGGCCCAGCTCTAGACATTGCAGCCTTCTGGGCAGTGAACCAGCAGATGGAAGTCCTCTCTGTGAGTGATGTGATTGTCCCTCTCTAACTCTAGCTTTCAAATAAATAAGTAAATCTTAAAAAAAAAAACTTTTTTAAGCCCTTAAAAGTACTCTGAAAACACTCTGCAACAAGGCACCTTCACGCTGGGAAAGGATGGTGCCCAGCCCAGCAGGGCCGGCAGGTGCAGTCCCTCCTCATGCACCTTGTCCCTCCCGATTCACTGCCATCCTCCTGATCCATGTGATGACACCAAGGGAGGCTCATGCTGCGTCCAGCCCCGGGCTGGCCCTGAATGTGAGAGAGGCCACCCCAGCCCCCAGGACAGGCAACCTCAAGGGCCATGCACCCGGAGCAGGAACTGTGACTGCTTTGAGCAAACGTGAGACAGCGAAGACTTCAGTGTAATAATCAGCAACTGGCCGTGAGGCATGGTGATTTCACCCAGAGACCGTGCTGGTCACTCGGTGAGACTGGAGCCTGAAGCGCACAATGGACACATCTCCTAAGAGTCCCCTTCCTGTGGGGAGACCACACGCAGCTGGGATCTGGGAGGAGGACATCACAGGACACGTCAAAGCTCAAGTGCCACCAACAAGTCCAGCTGCCAGTCTCTGTGAGCCACGGTCACACGTTACAAATGAAAGGACTTGAAATTTCTGGAACCAAAGTGGAGTCTGCCTGAACCCCTTGACGTCCACTGACAACGTCCTAACCTTGCACACCTCCACTCCCTCGGTAGGACTCATCTGAAGACACGATTCACAACATCTTCTGATTACTTTGACTAGTTCATCAGGAGGGGGCCGTGCAGCCAGCTCAGGGGTGACCTGTCCGGAATGCGCTAACGTAACCAGCCACGTGGCTCCGCGGTATAAACTCCCCACAACCAGGAAGCCCAGGCCCAAGCCCAGCCATTAGAAACTATTTTCACAATTCTGTTGTCTAGAAAGTAATCATTTTCACATTGCTTTTCACCACTTTCATTCTTTTTGGTTGATGGAGAAGAACAGTGGGAATCCGA